GTTGCTAATAATAATATTTAATAATACATTAAAGAAACAAAGCCCATTCTATTTCCAGGACCAGAAAGCTGTTATGATAGATTTGGTTCATTCATAGGAATTGTCTCCTTGTTCCAGTTGGACAATTAATTTAAAAGAACCGAGGCAAAAATATAAATTTAGGACTGAAAGTAAGCTAATCTCTATAGTCACTTCCATCATTAGTCAACCTAAAACAATTGATTAATTGATTATAACTGAGCAAAGCCACTAGCATTAATAGGCTTGAAAGTTTGGGAACATAATTGGATATCTATCTGAAAGACAGTAGTGAGATAAATAACTTGGAATTGAATTCTAGCCTAGAAAGGCACATTTCAATTCTGAATGTCTTACTTAGGGACTTGTCACACAAAGGGAGAAATGTAGAACAATAAGCGTAACTATGGCTTAAAAATCAAGAGACCTAAATCTGTTGCCTGCAAATTACTTTCCATCTTGGATCATCTCCATTAGATGGAAAAGCATTAAAAAAAAAAAAAATCCTAACTGGAAATGAAATTGGTTATATTTTGAAAAATGCATTATTAGGCAATTTCATGTTGTGGGAACATCATGGAATGTGCTTACACAAACCTGGATGGCATAGCCTACTACACACTTAGGCTAAATGGTATAGCCTATTTGCTCCTGGGCTACACATCTGTACAGCATGTGACTGTACTGAATTGGAGGCAGTCATAACAAAATGGTATTTGTGTATCTAACCATATCTAAAAGTGCAAAAGATACAGTAAAAATATAGTATTATAATCTATTACATCATGCAATCCATCATTGACCTAAATGTCATTATGCAATGCATGACTGTACTTCTTTCAGTTTAAAAGAGGAAGTGAGAGATTTCCCAGGAGGAGTATTTAGCAATGGTCATGTGGCTTCCAATGCAAGACAGAAACTTTTCTGGTGTGGAGGAAGAGGGACTGAAGAATGGCTGGAAGGCAAGATAATAGGCTCCTTTTGATAGTTCGGATTCTTTTATTCATGGGACTTTAAAGGGGAGAAATAGACCCTGAGTCCAGAAAACGAGCAGCTAAAGACAAGTTACCAAAAGTGCTTACCTTCAAATTTAAATTTGGATTAGGTTATAAAAGACAGCATTCTAATTAGGGTGTAGGTATAAAATTTGGATTCATTGTTAAGATTTGAATAAAGAATTGATAAAAGCTTGTTTGTTTTAGAGTCTTAACTTTGAATTTGGTATTTAACGGTTTAATTATTTTAGTAAAAAATTTGCATAGTAAGTCTGAGTGAAGCCTATGAGCTCTAACCAAATCTTGGGAAAAGTATGCTCCTTGATGTTATGACCTTTGTAATATACAACAAATGCCAAACACCTAGTAATCCTGTACCTAAAATGTAGAGAAATTAGCTGTCTCAGAATTCAGATTCTTACATACTAAAACTACAAAGCAAAAGCCACCAAAGTTACGTCCTATAGTAGTGAATTTATAGTTGCTTCTCCTGGTACCCCACAGCACTATGGGCCTGTGGCTTTGTGAGAGAGAACCCCTTCTTGTTGAATTTACTTAGGCTTGAAATATCGATTTCTACCCCTGCTCCCTGAGGTTCACACTGTGCTTATCAGGAATGATAGTTAGTTCCTTTGCCCTTATCGCTTTTTCACTTGTTTCCCTTAGTCGTGTTGGTAATTATTAATCTAAGGTAAATGTCTTTTCTTTCAGTCCTCCTCGCCCTCTGACTAACATGAATGACACCATGGTTAGCCACATGTCCTCTGGAGTGCCCACTCCCACCAAGAGGTATGTATGTCTGGTGCCTCAGAGTTGGGTCAGGGCCTCTGCTACTGATTTGCAACCAGCCCCACTCAGAAATGAGGCCTACGAAGCAGATCATTCCACAGGACAAAAAGAACTGGCTTGCTTTTTCTTCCCTTGGCTGTCTTTTAATATTATTATCTACTTTTTAATCTTCTTTTTTTTCTCCCACTGACTCATAAATACAGCAATTGCAGTTTGGCTTTGAGTGGTCTCTCGGGTGGAAACTTCATTTGTGACAAGCAGTGAACATAGTGTCAGAGCAGATTAGGCATGTTTGAGATCTTTTTTTTTTTTTTTTTTTTACCATAAACGATATTTTGATAATCATGAGTTTCAACAGTTTTTCATTTCAGTTCTTTGAGTGTCAAAGGTCATTTCTGCTTTCTGATTAGACTATGTAAATTGAATTAATCCCTTATAAAATATTCTCCTAAATCATTCTTTATATGAGTCATAAACATTTAAGTTGAAGGGCCTTTTGAGTCCCACTCTCTAAGTATAGGGAGTTTGCTTTAGGGTCCTTCAAGGAATGAGAACTGTACTTCTTTCTCCTCTTTATTTAATTTACTCTTCTCCAAAATTCTCTTAGGCAAGACTTAAAAAGAATGATATAAAAAGGCTTACTTTCTATTTGGTTTAAGCTGTTCCATGACCAGAGCAATGCAGAAACTTCCTCAAGGGCACAACCATTAAAGAATTCTTTCTAACAGTCATCACTCAAAAAGAAGAAAACCACAAAAGACATTCCAACCCACCCCCCAAGTCCTTCCTGGGGGGGAAAAAACACTTCGCTTTGTGCCATATGTCCCGGTTGCTTTGGATTAATTCAGCTATAGAAATATCATCTGCTTAATGATACTTTGACTTAGTATATAGTACATAAGACCAACAATGTTCATTCTCATTGGGTAAAACTCCTAGAACAATGTTTCTCAAACTTTACAATGAGAAGACTCCCCTGGGTCACTTGTTAAAAACACAAATTTCTTGGGACAACATCAGACCCAGTGAATCGGAGTCTCCAAGGATAGGATCTTGAGAAGCCACATTTTTAACAAGTATTTCAGGTGATTCTTACCAGGGAGCAAGTTTGCAAAATAGCCTTAGAAGGAAGCTAAGGAGTAAACTGAAGGGCTACCCTGGAAAAGAGGGTTTAGATGTGACTTAATAAATCAGGGTGACCTGATGGTACAGCATTATCCACGTGGAGACTCAGGAGCTAACCAGGTAAGAGCACTTGCCTACAGCCTTCTCAGAACACTTCTAGCAGGGAAACAGCCAGCTGCTGCTTTGGGCACAGTTGAGTGGTACAGTGCATTAGAGCACAGACTTTTTTTTTCCTTTCCCTGGTATCCAGCACTTAAGGATAGAACTGGTGGATGGGAAGCTGCTGGCACTGAAGACATGATGCCAAGGAGTGTAGACTTTCGAGCCAGACTATCTGAATTTGAATCCTGGCTCTCACCAGACCTTCAACATGTTCTTATCTTCAATTGTTTATCTATAAAATGGGGGCAAAAATAATATCTACCTTGTGGGATTTATATGAGGATTTAATATTTTTATTATTTAGTAAGTAAACTGGAATGAAAGAACAAGTGAGGAAGAGACAGAATGATTTACAAATAATACTCTCTCAAGGAGAAACAGAAAATTTGTGGAAGAATACAAAGCAATTAAACCTCTCCCACCTACCAGATATTATAATAATACCCTTGCTGTCCTTAATCTTTAGTTTTTTGTCTCAGACCCAGACTCCAAATCAGGGATGTTTCCATTTCAAAACCAGGCAGATAAGGTAGATTAGTGAAAGAATTCCATGCTTAGGTTTTATGTTAATTTTAAGAACGCTATCAAGTAGGGTTTTACTTTATCTGAGTTCTTCTCATCATTTACTCTGATGAGAATTGTTTTGTCACTCTGAGTCACCTGAGTACATGAGAGTCCTAAGTGCCAGTGATGGGGCACCATATGTAATACGTGCTACATTGAGTGACCACAGCTGAATGTAGCTGCTGGCAGCTGTTAGAGGGAGTACGACTTTCTGGACAATGTTTTATTGCTTAAGAAAACTAAAAGAAGGGACTCAGGAGCGTTAATAATCACAGCCACCTCTGGAGAGGACTACTCCTTAGGCTTGCTGTATTAAGCTCCAGGCTTAATTATAAGTGGCCATCTGTAATTGTCAGTCACAAAATGGTATCTGCCAGTTTTGAAAGCTGCTTCAGATAATCTGGTATAGCCTAGATTAAGATTTTGTTTTAAATTCAGCATTTCAGCTGGCACCTCTTTCTGGATGGAATTAGTCAATCCTAGAGGTGGTTATCATAGGCTATCTAAGGACTGACCACGTTGAGCGCTGTAATGGATCAAGAAGAGCAGTGACTTAAGTAGGGGCTATGAGGGAGCAAGATGCCCCTACCCTACCAATGCAGTCCTTAGGATGTTAGATTTCATTTCTATTCAGGATGAGATTGTGACATATCATGTGGACATTAATTACGTAATTCATAGACTTGGCTTTTCATGGCCCCAGTAACCAAATAGTAAGTTTCCAGACAGCATTCTATTTATGTCCTCAGGGTCACCTCAGTTTTTCTTCCCTCCTCTGAATGTGGTCAGACTGTGTCTCCAGAGTCTGCTGCCTGTGAGCCAGGAGCCTTAACCCACTGAGGCAGGGATCATCAAGGAAAAGAGCCACTTGCCAGAAATAAGAGGCTTCCTTTAGAACTCATTGTGAGACATAAATCACTGAATCACATAAGAACATGCACAGTAACAAAAGTGCAGGAAAAATTGAAGAGATCCAGTTTCTACCTTTTCGGGCGATGCATATAAAAACAGTATAACCTCAGTGGTCAAAAGTAATGCTGTATTAGTCCACATGAAAGATGATCTCAATGTAAGGGTTCCTTTTTACAGAAGAAGACCTTATAAAATGGCAAAGATGATGGATATCAAGTGAGATCCTTCTGAGGTTCTACTCTAGGGATTTGCCCTCCATAATATTCTTTTTTTTTTTTTTTGAGACAATCTTGCTCTGTCACCCCAGCTAGAGTGCAGTGGCGTCATCATAGCTCACTGCAACCTCAAACTCCTGGGCTCAAGCGATCCTCCTGAATAGCTGGAACTACAAGTGCGTGCCATGACACCTGGCTAATTTTTTCTGTTTTTAGTAGAGACGGGATTTCGCTCTTGCTGAGGCTGGTCTCGAACTCCTGACCTCAAGCGATCCTCCTGCCTCAGACTGCCAGAGTGCTAGGATTACAGGCAGGCATGAGCCACCACGCTGGCTCATAATATTCTTTAATATCCCCATATTGATCTATAACTGAAAAGAAATTTTTTTTTCTTTTCCTTAGACTAGTTTCTTGAAATTTGCTTTCTTTTAAAATCATCAGAATAGTACATTTAAAAACAAACGAGAAAACTTACAAAGCTTTAAAACACAGGCTTAAAATCCTCCCCTGGCTAACTTTCTTGTAGGCCTTCATCTGTCCCTCTTTTCCCTCAATGCTCAGAATGTGAATGTGCTACTATGCACTGTATTGTTGTATTATTCTAAGTTGCCTTCTATTCAGATCAATATGGAAAATGATGCTAATGCTTTTGTATTTTTATTTTTTAAATGTCTTCTAAAGCCTTAGCTTTCATTATTTGTGGATACATAACCCTTTACGTTCTGTGGGAATTTCAC